TTGCTAAAATTAGTACTGATATGTAAAAGGAACCACTGCAAAATAGGTCTAGGTATAACTTGTGGTGAAATAAAATTAAGTATACATGAGCTGATATTTATTGATAGACTCCAGTACAAATCATTTTACAATGACTGGTTGCTAAAAATGCAGTTAACACCCTGAAAATATTTATCGACTAAGTAAAACTTCAAGATTAAGACACCTTTTAGCCTCAATATTAGTAGTAAATTCTAATTTTTTCAAAAACTAGAACTTGCAACTGAATACCCTTGCAAGCCAACACCCAACAACATCTGCAACAAAATGTGAGTTATGATTCTCACTAATCAAATAAAAATGTTTTCGAAACATTTTGATTAGTAACTTGGGCCTTCCATTCCTTTGAAGTGGATAAAGTGTAAGAAAATTCAGAATGATCAGTGCAAATCCTAAATAGAGTAAGACCAAGATTGCTATCCACCAAGCCTTGTGTCGGATGTGCAATAACAAATCATCACAGACTGTTATGGAAATAAAAATAATTAGAATATAAGCAGGAAAAAGTAAATTCTATGGTGAAAATGTTATATATTTATTCATATGATAATGAAAAAGCAAATTAAAAGATGAAAGTAAAATGTCACCTAAAATTTTAATTTTATTCTCATGAGATAAGATAAATGAAGAGAGAAAATTGGACAATCAAAGTATAATAAACAAAGTTATCAAAAAAAAAAAAAAAAAAAAAAAAAAAAAAAAAGATCAAACTATTAATTTCATAACTCAATAAAGAGCAAGTTGGCCTTAACCAAATATAAACTGATAATTACAATAATTCCAATACTAGAAAACATGAAATATTATTTGAACTTATTACCTAAGTTGAATATGATATGCTACCTCTCTGATACACATATTATTGAACATACAATTTTTTCTAAGTGGGGAAACAATCAAACTTATAATCAGCTTTTATAACATGATCAAATGCATTATGCATCAAAATATTTTGTATGAATTGATAATAAAGCACACAGAAAAACTTTAAAGCACTTTGTAAATTGTCTTTTTTGAATTATATATTATATTGCTATTGTTTCAATATATATTTGTTATATACCCTATAGCCAATTTGATTGGTTATATTTTGGATATAATATTTTATGTAATAAATATTTTATTATTAATAAAAGGCATTTATTTATCTTTTATATCCTATTGATTGAATCTTGGTAAAAGATAAAATCTATGAGACAATACTACTTTGCGAAATAAATTATAATGTGGTTATAATTATGATTTTTATATGCATTAAAGTAATATTTCTAAATATTCTTGATCAATGTTCTCCTCATTATTGGATGATATTAGAGCTATTTAGACTAGTATATAGTATGTTCTTTCCTTAAGGAAGTAGCTGTTCTCGTAGACTGAGATATATGTGATATCTAGAACTAATAAATAGATGCTTGTTATTTAAATAAGTCCATTGAATTGACCTGCATGAGAATTCCATAAGGCGAGTTACCTATGTCTATGGAATACTCAAGTGGTGACTATGTTTTGACTTGAGTTACCAAGCAATCTTGTATGGAGATGACTATGTTTTGATTATTCATTCACATTATTCATTCATGAATAATAAGCAATGATTTTTGGACATAATAGGAACTGTATAGAGATAATTGTGTAATTAAGAGAGGATTCATCACCCTAGGTAGTATAGAGATAATTGTGTAATTAAGAGAGGATTCATCACCCTAGGTAAATCATGGAAAATGTTCTAATCGTTCTCTATTAGTATTAATTAAGAAATTCTTGCGCAAGGCAAAATGAAATTAGCAAATTAGATTTGGAATTTTATTAAAATGATCAATTGTTAAGATTAAGAGAACTAACATGATTTACTAAAGTAGACACACTTCATGCTTAATTATTAAATCAGAATATTAATGATGAAAGGATATTAATTACACTGATAAATCATGCACTGAATGGTTAAAACAAACCACTTTAACTTTTCAAATATTTGGATAGTCTTAACATGTTGTTAGACAATATACTTGACTTTCAAATATTAATTAATTAATTTAATTTATATTTGTTGGCAACATATTTGGAACTTAGAAGGTCACACTCATAAAAATGGATATAGAAAAGTGAAAACGACAGATCGGATCAAGTATAACTTGATTACAAATAAATTTTGGGATATTAAAGGTAAAATTGTAATTTATATTTAATAACAATTTTACCTAAATTATTAAGTATTGACTTAATTGATTTATGCCTAAAATTTATTAAGATAAATTTTAGATTAAATAAACCTAATATTTAATATTTTAATTATGATTTATTTATTTAAATAGATAAAATAAATAAATATAATTGATTAATTTGAAAATCTTATTGCTATATGGATTATGATTTATTTATTTAAAATTATTTAAATAAATAAATAGGCACATATATAATTTAGTTATAATTTATTTATTTCGAAGCTTCAAATAAATAATTATAATTTATTTATTTATGGCTAGAATTTTCATATATGAGGTTAAGGAGAAGACTGTAGTCGTTGCTTATAGCCACAAAACTAAACATAAATCGTAAGATATCTAGCACTATCATTACTCTAATCTCTCAACCCTTCAAAATAGTTTTAGAGTTTTTCGATTGTTTATTCATGTGGATACTATTAGAGGTTGGATATTTGGATGGCTTGTAGTTGGCGATAACTTAGCCGCATAAATCAAAGTTTTGAAGAATCTGTAAAAGATGTATTCTTCTAAATAATTTTATTGCGTTTAATCATTTACACGGAACCCTATTGGTATAATTATATTATTATAATTATCTTATTCCCTTGCGTATTATTGATATTGAAACCCAATCGTTTAGACGTTTAAGATGTAAAATAATATATTAATTATTGAAAATAATTTGGAATTAATTCATATGCTCAAATTAGTATTTTGACAAAATCAAATCTGAGTTAAATTTTTCTAGATTCGTTTTTCAAATTAAATTTGATTTAATTAAATATAAAAAAAAAAATTGATTTGGAAATTTTTTTTAACGAAGAACACCTGAGGTTGCAATCCACCAATCGCCGACCGCCGTTAGACTCCTCCGTGCTGGCGCTCCGGCGAAGGCCCGGTGATGCTGCAACGGTGCTGCTTTTTCCGATAAAAAAAAAAAATAAAAAAAATATATATATATATATATATAGATATATATATTAATTTATATATATATATATAGATATATATATATATTTGAAAACGTTTTTCCGGCGAAGTCCGCCTTCTCTTGGACTGACCGGTGGTCTCCGTTGTCTTCCGACCACCGTGTGACGTGCATCGAGCCTAGGCATGGCTAGCGGCGACGCTGGCAATGGCTGAAGCTCTTTGGGCAGCGCTAGGTTCCAATCGGGAACATCTTTGCTGTTTTGTAGAACATGATGGAAAAGTTACGGTTTGGTCCCTGCTTGTTTTTTTGATGCTTTTCAATTGGGTCCAAAACAGTTTGCTTTGTGCAATAAGTTCTAAAATTAGTTTTAATTGGGTATTTTAATTAATTTGGAATTAATTAAATTTTGAGGGCCACTAAAATTAGTTGTCAGTAGTTTAAAGTTGTTTTTAGAATATTTTCTAATTTTTTTAGAAAAGAAAATTAAAATAATTTAATTTGTAATAAAATTATTTTGTGAGTTAATTCCTAATTGGATTAGGAAATAAATTAAATTGTTAATTATTTATTAATTCTAAGATGACCAGAATTAGTAAAATTAATTTATAAAATAATTTTATTCTAGAATTATTTTTAATAAGATTTGATATATCAATAAAATTATTTTATTCATAAATTTATTTTGTAAAAATATAAAAAAAATGAAATTTTAATTGTTAAAATATTATTTTCAGTAGATGAGACCAATAATTCATATATATTAATATTATATAATATTTAAATACATTTAATATGATTATTATGTATGATGGGTGATTATGGACATTAGAAAGACCTATGTATTTTTTTTTTTATTTTTGGTTGAATGAATTTTATGTAATTTTTTTAAATAGAGCCTGCATGTCGTGCTTCTTTTTATTTTGGATTGTAAAATTTCTTATTTATTTTATTCTATTATGTAATAGTTAGATAATTATAATATGTAAATAAGATATATATTATTTTGTAATTCAAGAAGAAATAGAGAATTGAAGAAATTACATGGAGCATTGGAGAATTCGAGCCAAGAGCTGCTATTGAGCATTATGAAGATCTAATAAGCTCCTACCTAGGGTTTTTGACCATCTATCTAATTTCCATAATGGCCCAAGGAAATTAGTTTTAGAAATGTCCATAATCATCCAATTAGAATGGCATGCTACAGGTGCATGTTATGTATGTATAATATATGATATGACCATCATGTCAAAACATGAAACCTGCGACTAAAATTTAAAATAAATCCCTTATTCAAATTTTAAGTGCATATTAAGAATATGATTGATTGTCACCTATTGTTATAGCATGAAAACTGGAGCTCCATTACAATTGGCTTGTTGGGAAAATCCAAGGTCAATTTCAATCGAACATGCTTAATGCTATTAAATAATTTGAACAATGGTTTTACTTAACTAATTTATATGATTTGGATGAGAAACTCATGATCATATAATATTAGGACAAAGGTTAGGCGAACACATGTGATATGTTTCGACAAAGAGTTGTCACTTAAATGATCTAAAGTCACATAAAGATGTGATTAATAAGTTATGTTATCTACCCAAATTAATTCAATATAACTTATTGGGAAAATCAAAGATTATATGGGTTAATTGGGATCTTAGCCTATTAGGAGATCTAAACATTGGATTTTCCGAATCAATAGAAATGGCTATTAATTTGAATAAAATAGTGGGAGATCTAAATTAAAATTAAAGACCTTTTTTAATTTAGTACTACATGAAATTAATACTTGATATCTCTATATTTGTAGATCAATTATAACCATGAGTAATAACCTATGCCTGCGTAGCATACTTGAGGCTAATAAACTGACCCGACCAAACTTTATTGACTGGTATCGAAATGTGAGAATTGTTCTCAAGCAAGAGAAGAGGTTATATGTCATTGATAAAAACAAACCTGATATTCCCACTGATGATGCTATTGAAGAAGAAAGGAATAACTTCATTCGTCATACTGATGACGATGGGCAGGCGACATGTGTGATGTTAGCAAGGATGAATTATGAACTTCAAAAACAACATGAGAATATGGATTCTCGCATCAATATCTTGCATCTCAGGGAGTTGTTTGACTCCCAAGGTAGGTCTGAGAGGTATGAGACCTCTAAGGAATTGTTCCATTGTAAGATGGCAGAAGGCTCTTCAGTTAGTGTTCACGTTTTCAAGATGACTGGCTATATCGAAAAATTGGGACAATTAGGCATTGCCATGGACTATGAGCTGATTATTGACTTAGTCTTACAGTCCTTACCACCCAGCTATTCACATTTTATTTTGAGTTTTAATATGAATAAGCTGGATGCTGGCTTACCTGAGTTGCTTGGTATGCTTACCACTGCTGAAGGAGCTCTTAAGAAGGATACAACTCCTTTACTTATAGTTCAGTCTTCTAAGGCTTAGAGAAAGTGCAAGAAGAAGCAGATTAAGAATAAGGCATTAAATAATGGAGGTGTGACTAAAGAAAAGGGCACCTGCCACTACTGTGGCAAAGATGGCCATTGGAGGAGGAACTACGGGGAATATCTTATGACTGTGGAAGCAAAGAAGCTTGCAAAAGCTTCTACTTTAGGTATGTTTATGATCGAAATTAATCATTCTATTTTTAGTTCTTGGGTATTAGATACCTAATATGATTGTCATATCAATAACGTGCAAGAACTAAAGAAAAGTAGAAAATTGAGAAAAGATGGATGTATGTGTAGCCTGTGGAGCAAAGGTTGTTGCATTAGCTGTAGGAATATATTTTGACTTAGTATTAGAATTAAATAATTGTTATTTAATTTCAGTACTTAGTAGAAGCATTTTTTCAGTTTCATATTTATTTTTGAATAATGGATTCAGATTTTGTTATTAGGAACATAATTGTTCTTTTTACAATAAAGATATTTTATGAAACTGGAATCAATACATATGATTTATATAATGTTTGTATTGATAAACTCCTCATCAACATAAACAACAATAAATCTAAAATAGATAATAAAACTTATCATATTTTCTGCATTGTATACTTGGTTGCATTAATAAAACAAGAACCACTAAGTTGCATAAAGAAGGTTACTTTGAAAATTTTTTATTATGAATCATATGAAACTTGTGAATCCTGTTTAATGTGTAAAACGACTAAAACACTCTTTACGTGAAAAGGTGAAAGGTCAAAAGAATTATTGGACCTAATACATTCAAATGTATATGGATCAATTATTGCCTAGGCCATAAGTAGATATGAGAGTGTTTCATTATATTTGCTGATGACTATAATAGATATGGTTATTGGCATATATAACGAAACACAAATCTGAATTTTGAAAAGTTCAAGGAATTCAGAAATGAAGTTGAGAAACTAAATAAAAGTATTAAAACACTTCGATCCGATCGACGCGAAAAATACTTAAGTTAAGCCTTTCGAGAGTATCTATTAGAAAATGTGAATCGTACCGTATTAGATATAATACGATCCATGATGAGTCTTGTAGAATTATCTTTATCCTTTTGAGGATATACCTTCTAATTAGAGTTCCATTTAAATCTGTTAATAAGATTCCATATAAGATGTGGGCCAATATGCTTATGTGAAGCGTTTGAGATCTGATAAGCTATGAGCTAAATTAGATAATGTAAGTTTGTGGTATATCCAAAAGAAATTATTGGATATTATTTCAACCATAAGCTATGAGCTAAATTAGATAATGTAAGTTTGTGGTATATCCAAAAGAAATTATTGGATATTATTTCAACCATCTTGTTGAGAGAAAAATGTTTATCTCAAAACATGCTACCTTTCTAGAAAAGGTATTTATCCTTAAAGGAAGTAATAGGAGCCGGGTAGAAGTTGAAAAGTTCAAGAACCTTAAATATACATTAAAGATGGAACTGGAACAAAAGATTGTTACATTATATTAACAATAAAAATACATTGGTTAAAGAACCACCGCGTAAATCTATTAGGATGAGTCGTGCTCCTACAAAGGTTGGACCTTCTTGTTGAGACTTGAACCTAACAAATATGAGGGGGAAATGTTTGATATTTACATGCAATTGCATATATTATGATTATGAAATTTGTCATATTAATGTCAAAACTGCATTCTTAAATAGCAAATCTAATGATTTTCTTAATCAAAAGAAATTTCTAATATAGTATGCAGACTGCAAGAGTCCATTGGTAGACTTAAGCAAGCCTTTGCATAATGAGAACAATCGTTTAATAAATAATCAAATAGCTTGATTACATTAAAAATGTGGATGATCTTTGTGTGTATAAGAAGGTCAGTGGGAGCATAATGATATTTTTTATTTAGTATGTTGATAACATATTAAAATAAGAAATTACATTCCATTACTCTAAAAGTTTGGTCATCCAAGAACTTCTCCATTTAAGAAGCATCTTATATACTTGGTAAAATCTATAAGGATAGATTCGATAGGCTACTAGGATTATCTGAATCCACATATGTTGATAAAGTGCTAAAACAGTTTAGCATGGAGGAATCCAAAAGAGGATACCTACCTATATAACAATCTGATCTAGATGAAAGTCACTGAATTGCTGTTAAAACTATCATTAAGTATTCAAAATAAGTAAGGATACATTTCAGTCATGGAGAAAATAATGAACTAAGAGTTTATGGTTACATTAATGCCATAGGATAAAACACATGGGTAATTGGCTTTAGTGCAAGGGGAAGATTGTCAGTTATATGCCCTATAGCCAATTTGATTGGTTATATTTTGGATATAATATTTCATGTAATAAATATTTTATTATTAATAAAAGGCATTTTTTTTTTCATGTAATAAATATTTTATTATTAATAAAAGGCATTTTTTTATCTTTTATATTCTATTGATTGAATCTTGGTAAAAGATAAAGTCCATGAGATAATACTGCTTTGCGAAATAAATTATAATGTGGTTATAATTATGAGTTTTATAATTGCATTAAAGCAATGTCTCTAAATATTCCTAGTCAATGTTCTCCTCATTATTGGATGATGATTAGAGTTTTTGACACTGGTACATATTATGTTCTTTCTTTAAGGAAGTAGCTGTTCTCATAGGCTGATATATGTGTGATATCCAGATATAATATTTAGGTGCTTATTATTTAAACAAGTCCACTGAATTGACCTGCATGAGAATTCTATATGGATAGTTACCTGTGTCTATGGAATTCTCAAGTGATAATTGTGTAAGTGATCCTTTGACTTGAAGTTAGACTTGAAGTTACTTAGCTATCTTATATGGGGATGGCTATGTTTTGATTCTTCATTCACATTATTCATTCATGAATAATAAGCAATGATTTTTTTGACATAGTAGAAACTGTATGGAGATACTTGTATAATTAAGAGAGGGTTCATCACCCTAGGTAAATTAGGAAAAATGTTCTAACCGTTCTCTATTAGTATTGATTAAGAAATCCTTGGGCAAGATAAAAATGAAATTAGCAAATTAGATTTGGAATTTCATTCAAATGATCAATGACTAAGATTAAGAGAATTAACATGATTTAATAAAGTAGGGACACTCCATGCCTAATTACTAAATCAAAACATTAATGATGAAGAGATATTAATTGCACTGACAAATCATGCACTGAAAGGTAAAGTCAAACCACTTTGACTTTTCAAATATTTAGATAGTCTTTACATGTTGCTAGACAAAGTACTTGACATTTAAATATTAATTTAATTTATATTTATTACCAACATATTTAGAACCTAAAAGGTCACACACATAATAAGAATGGAAATGAGAAAGTGAAAATGAGAAATAGAATAAGTATGACTTGACTACAAATAAGTTTTGGGACATTAAGGGTAAAATTGTAATTTATATTTAATTACAATTTTACCTAAATTATTAAGTATTGACTTAATTTATGTCTAAAATTTATTATTAAATAAACCTAATATTTTAATTATGATTTATTTATTTAAATAGTTAAATAAATAAATATCATTGATTAAATTGAAAATCCTATTACTATATGGATTGTGATTTATTTATTTAAAAATTTTTAAATAAATTTCCTTATTACTATATGGATTGTGCATTTTTTATTTAATTTATTTAAAAATTTTTAAATAAATAAATAGGTGCATATATATTTTAACATCATCTTAGATAGAAAAATAAAACCCACTCATTTTGAATCAATGTTTGATTAGTAATGTGTCCTGAATTTTCAAGTTCAATTATAGGAAATTGTGTTTGATTAAAAGCCTAGGTTATATATACTCTAATTTGGAAAAGGCATAAAAAATAAATGTAATTTAGTGTGTGTTTCCTGTACAAAATTGAATATATAACAAGTTTCAAGAAGCCTAAACGTGAGGATATTTTTTTTCTAAACTCCATACCTGCACATCCATCTACTGCACCTAAAAGATTTACAGTATAACATCCAGATAAAAACATAGATTAATAATTCCACAATTATAATAGATCAATTTCATAATATTTTTTTTGTTAATATATGCCTTAATAATTTGCATTTTTTTGGGTTCAAAATCCCATCATAATTATGTCATATAAAAAAGTAAAGCAGACATTCCTTCGCTAAAAGCTTAGAATATAGCTACTGCAAAATAATATCTTATTAGGTAATTATTTGTTAAAAGAAACCAAAAAAAAAAAAAAGTAAAATATTGACGAAAAATTAATTTTGATACTTCGCTAATATCTTTCCAATTAATAAAAATTCGCTTTATAATGGAAGAGTGTACATATATGTAGATTTTTTAACATATGAATCATGTCATATATGTAGATTTTATAATCAACGAATATATGCTCTTTTTTTTTTTTTTTTTTTTTTTTCAACAGGAATATAATTTTTTTTGCCCTCTTTTTTTTTTTTTTTTTTTTTTTTTTTACCTTAGAAACTATATGAATGTCACGACTCATTTACGCGGGCCAGACCAGAACTAGGATCTGGGTGGACTTAAGGCTTCCGAGACCCGTAGTAAACCTATATTAATTCATCCATATTCTAAATATAATTGTGGCTTTGAGCCCAAATTTTATCACAATTCATTTGGAATATAATTGCGGAACTCTATAATTTACAGTATTTTACATTTACATCGTTATTACAATCGTTAATATGAACCATGACATTATCGGTCCAGTTTCTTCTAAAATAATCAATCATTTATTCGAGTAGCGATGCATAAGTGGCAAAAACACTCTATTGCCAACAGCACCGACCATGCCGGTTATTATCAACAAAATATCAACAAAACCATTGAACAAAAAAAGCTTAAGAAGTAGAACTTTTTAACGTTCTTCTTATCTCCTTTATTGTTGGTGGCCTCTTCCATATTTCAGGAATACAGAGAATATTTATAATGTTGCTGCTGCAGAATCCATATAATTCAAATAACGAAATATAT